TCTCCCCCCACGAAGATAATTTTTTAAAAAAAAAAAAAAAAAAAAAAAAAAAAAAAAAAAAAAAAAAAGTTAAAAAAATCCACAACTTTCTGTTTTGGTTTTTGTTGCTGTTGTAGTTTGACTCCTGCACTATTTTTTGTTTTAAAATTGCACTATTTCAACTTCTTATCAACTTCACCTAAATGAAAACCACATCATTTAAAAAAAGCTTAGATGTATATGTGCTTTTTGAAAGAATCCCTATAATGAATGTTTTCTTTTTCAAAATGTTATAAATAATGTTAATGTCTTCATTTCTGTATCTACTTGGGCATGGCTTTACATGCCAAAAAAGTGACAAACTTTTCCCAAATGTTATAAATATGTGGGTTAAAAGTAGCTTTCAGGTAGGGGAATGGCTCTGCACCTGGGAGGCTGCTCTCCTCCAAGACTGCCTTTGATAGAAATTACTGCCTAAATGTTAAGAGTTGGCAGACGTAAAGATATACATTCTTGGCGTGTCAGTTAAGGGGTTTTGAACAATAGTTTGCTCTGAAATGCTGCACTTTACACTGAAATGGTTGAGATAACGTGCACCTTTTGAACACTGTCCTGCAGAAGGAAGTATTCCCAGCAGAAAGGCAAGTGGACAGTAAAGAAGTGCAATAATGTCTTACTGTAGCTCAAGTCTGCCACATTGTAGCTGACCATACCCAAGTCATGATAACACCCCTTTTTTTGTGTGTCTGAGGTAAATCAGCTCCCTATTGGCTACATGTTGCCTCTCATTTGGCACAGTCTTGATATCCTTGGCTTAATACCCTTACCCATGGGTGCAAGGCAACATCAGCCCCGTCTCAGAGGTGAGACTGTAATGGTGGAGCTTACATCACTCTCTGGTACACTACTGTTCGTGTCACATAGATTTAATCCCAACTGCAAAAACATTTCTGAGCAAGCAAACTAGGTACACATGCAGAGTGAGACCGTCAGGTATAAGTGACACTGCACAACTCTGCCTTGTTGATTCACTCTCTACAAAAATCAGAATAGCAATTCCTTTTAGACTCTCTCAGAGGCCATTGCTTGGTGTGCAGTTGTGGAATGTCCCAGTGTCAAATGCTCTGCTGTGACAGCACAACCATGGGTAGGGATGTGCTATGAACCCTGTAATATTCTCCAGCCCAGCTCCTTCTGCAGCTGCCTGGCAGAAATGGGATAGTGTGGAGACAGGGTAGTGTAGGAATAGATGGCTGGGGACAAATGAAAGATACACAAGCATGACTGCTGAAAAGCTGCTTGTTTAATTCCATGCTTCAACTCATTGTCACATCCCTCTGAATGAGAGTACCTGGGCCTGGTCTTACACCAGTTTGCACCATCATATACATTGATGCAACATGACTGTTAAACACTGTTATCATCATCTGGACATACTGGTGTCAGTTTGCATGGATGTAAGTTGTCACACCAGGTGCAACTCTGTAGAGGATTGTGCCACTGATTCTCTTGTGCTTAGAAATACTTCCTGGCATGACTACAGTGGGAGAATGATACCAGCCAGATTTCTTTCTTCAGTGTGGAATTGACTTACACTAACAACAGAAGTTCTCTATAGATCTCTCTGTTACAGAATAAAGACTATTTTGTTGACAGAATTCAATCTATTCTAAGGATTTCCTGGTTTATTTCAGTTGGGATGATTTTTCTTATGGTCCAAACAAACCCAGTCATATTTTATGCATCTTAATTGATATTACAGAGGTAGATGAAGCTTCTGCATGTAAGAGAATCTAATCCAATATGGGAGATGTATTGGCCACTTCCTGGGAGGATGGATAACTCAAAACTGAGGTGTTACCCCCCGCTATGTAAATGCAGTCAGGTTTGCTTCTTTGTTGTTCTGTAAAGTCTGAACCCAAGAAAAACACAAGTATCCTATGTATCATGTTTGAATTTGGCCCACTTTGTGGTTAAGTTGTTATTCCAAGTTTCACATTTTAAAAAGGGGCATCAGAAAGAATTCTAGTCTAAGTTAAAACACACATGCAGCAACCTCTTAAGAACTGCGTTTTTAAAAAGACATCAGCAGCTTACCCTCTTTTTTGGGCAACTGACAATCATTAACCACTGCTGACAGCTAGCAGAGTACTTGCTAAATCACACCATTTTAAAAGAACAAAGGAAACAAACACTAAAAATTAATTTCTTGCTATCTGCTTATGAGACACAGATATTCCTTCATCCTCTCCACACAACATGTGCCCTGGATTGCATCTGGACTGAAATCTGACATTGCATTGTACCTTGTTAAATTGCCACTGATTTAGTCTTGTAAAACATTTTAATTTGCAGACATTAATGATTCCCTGACATCAATCAGTAAATAGCATGGAAGACTGAGCAGTTGCTTTAAATTGTTACGTTTTCTTAGCAGTTGTTGTTGCTTTGATATTACTTTTAGAACTAGCACTGAGAAGTAGGGTTTCAGATACTTTAGTCACTGGTGTTTAGCTCTTATCCTTACTGAGCTGTCATTTATACCCCTCAAGTGCCACCCTAGAGTCTGTTTTGGAAGTCTCCCAATGCACTAATTGTAACAAAAAATTCAAAAATTATTCTTGCAGAAGAAATGCATTGTCAAATGCCCACCTGATATGAACTTGGAGCATTCAGACTGAAAGAAATGCCTTTCTTTTTCCAGAGCGTGCCTCTAACACCTGACCGATGATAGCATTCATACTTCTTCAGCCATGGACTCTCCAGAGGCTGAGATGGAATGAACTCAGGAGTTCTGGTGTTTGGGGAGGTTAACTTTTTTGTATGGAAGGTGAGCAGTTCTAAAAGCTCTGAAAATGTGTCTTCCTCTGACATGTCACTTGGTGCACAGACAGTAGAGACTATGCTAAAGCTGCTGCTGAAGGTATTACTTGTCTTTACTGAGAATGTGGCCTGATTTTAGCTGTCAGTGGGCAGCTGCTGAGCACATTACAAATACTAGTCCAACTGATGTACACTATTATAAGACACTTTTTTTGCTGAAAATCAACTTGATTTTAGCTAAGGGTAAACTTGTGCAGCAAAGTTTCCTGCTGCTGCTAAGGTTTGCTGGGATGCAGTTACATCAGTCGCTGAAACATGAGGCAGACCTACACTGTAGGTAACACTAGCAATAATTTATATTCACTTTAGACTCTTTGGATACAAAAGTAGAGCTTTGTTTTGAAAATCTGCAGTGAGGGCACCTGTCTGCAAAGGGTAAACTGCTTTCAGTTGGTCCTTAGTTTGGAGATTTAATGACTGAAAGATCAAGGGACAGTCCCTAAATTTGCGGTAGATATGACCGACTTCCTACTCCTCGATTCTAATACAGTGGTGTGAAGTGTGGCTGTTTTAATTGCCTTTCATCAGAACACAGTGATGTATTCTTAAAATCCTCAGAACTGTGTCTCCTCTGGATGGCATAGGGCGGTCTGACATTGGCACATCAGCCAGTTCAGTGAGACTTTAGGTGCTGATCCTTTGATACAGTATGGTCTTGAGATTGACAGGGCATGTGCAATTCTTCTGGAAATTCCTAGTGCTTAAATTACTTAACTGAGAGGCAATAAGCCTGAGGCAAGGAATATTCTGTGGGTAAGATTAGCTTCTGCTGCCTAG